GTTGGGCACAGTGAGATCGGCTTTCCTAGAGAAAGGGCATGCTTGTGTTTTGTTTGCATTGAAATCTACCAAGTTATTGGATTCCCATTCGAGAATTGTTGCCAAGTCCATATTTATGTTGTCAACATTTCTTCCTTCCAAGGCGGCATGGAGGGTACTATCATCTGCGAAGCTGTGTACTGGACATGAAGTTGCTTCCAACAAATCGTTGATATGGAGTAGAAATAGTGTTGGTGAGAGAATTGGTCCCTGCGTAACACCACCATTTATGATAAGAGAGTCAGATGAAACTCCGTCGACTACTACATGGAGAGACCTGTTAGAGAGAAAACTAGCTAGCAGCCCAACAAAGCCCTATACGTATTGAATATTATAACCAATGGTCGAGAAGTCCGTACGTTGGATTGCGCCTGATTATTTGTACGACCTAAGAGTGATTTAATCACAATACTCGTCACAATAGATCTTCTTGGTCGCAGTGATCGAGAGGTCTCCCAGCCTACATGACCCATCTACAAGAGTGATTGAAACGAAACTGATACCCTCCTGTGGGTTCAGGCAAACACCGGAAGGAAGAAGCAGATGAGCTTCCACAAAAACGGGTCGAGAAATCATTTCTGGGACCTGGAGCCATATGCAGAGTAAGGAGAAACCCAATACTGGAAGAAGACAATATCATATTGTATGCATAAGGTGTGGATACACTGTATAGCCTAAAACAATCTATCTATCTTGTTTTGCTATTGTTCTCCGTGGCAATGGCAATTTCTCTAGTCCCATGTCCCTCAGAAATTTCAGGATATGAGGTAGTTCCCGGTAGTGGAACCGCCTAATCGTTTTGCAGACAACGTGAATTTTCAATTCAAAATATCCTGAGAATAGAGCGGCATTTTTCTTGAAGCAAACTCTTCTACTAAGTACTTGTTTGAATCAAATGATAACTCGTTAATGGCTCATTCTGCCATTGTGGTAAATAAACAGAACCCTTCGTGTGGTATTGCTTCTCCATCCCTGTGTTATTCTAGAGTGGAACGACCCTTCATCCATCCACTTCCGCCACAATTATTTTGCCCATAAGCACATATACCCCGTCCTAGACTATTCTTTCCAGTCGTTTGTTAGGTATAACAGACATGTATAAAATATTTGTATGAGTGCGCTAACTCCACGCTCCGAGCTTCCAAAATAAACCATGAAGTCATTGTGTGTTCGGTGAATACCCTAAATGGGTGGATACCGAAAACTATAAATAATGACAAGCGCAAGAATAAATCCATTCATTTTCCGCAGTTGACGCAAATGTCGAGATTTATCCGTTACTTATCCCTTACTGAAAGATTAAATAAATCGACTACGAAATATCTCCTAGACGTGCATTTCCTCGATAAAATCCAACAATGGAGCTGGAGCTCTATTGTATACAATGACCCGTGCCAAAACAACAACCGGCGTTGACTTTTTCCCTCACATAACGTTATGCGATCGGCGACATCTGATATTATGACATCGAGGAAGCGATATCAATTACATAATCATTTAACACTTGAAACAGGGCCAAAAGTGAATCCGAAGCCAAACAACTTTGACCTTCTGTAAATAATGAGCTGAGAAGCCAGCGGGAAGGGTTCTGTGATAGTGTGGATCGATACACATTGTTATAGCTATCTGGAATTACCCATCTGGAAGGATATATCATAGGGATTTATTAAACACAAAGTAGAAGATTACTCAAGGCATACAGACATAGAGCGTAGGTCATCCCTGATACAGTCTAACATTATTTGTTTGGTGTCAAACTTCGAAGGATATGAATGCCTTGGAATGACCGATCCTGGTGGATTCGGCCAGAAGTCTGAAATTCTCCTTGCAGTCCAAGTGTGCAGTATCTGTTTGGCAAACTTCGATCTCCACAACGTATCAAGACCAGTGGTTTTCCTCTGTATCAGGATTTTCTTGAAGAATTGGACCCCGCACAATTTTCGACTTATTGGGCTTGGTCCCAGTGCTGGGATCAAAGAGGTATTGCAATGAAAAAAGTATGTCGAAAACTACATTGAGCTCAATTATACTACTATATAATTGTTTTTCAGGTACCAAGGTAGGTATGGTTCCCAACCACGCATTCATCTAATGAAGCAGCTTCCCGATCTACAGTTCGGGAACTACTCAACTTTTTGCCATATTTGCTGATTTGGAGATGGGAATCAGATGAGGCAGTGCTCCAGATTCTTATAGTATCTTTCTGTCTGCTGCTTTTATGAAGTTCATCAGCCTACGATTTGTATTTTCCGAGGTATATTCTGCATATGTGAGCCTCACACTGAAAGGGCCTTATGAAGAGAAACTGATTGTGATTCATCATATGATATCTCGACTAAAGATTCCTGTAACAGTATGGTGATTCATTAGATGGTAGTGGCCAGGTACTGAATGTCGTACTGCGTGTAAGCCTAGATTTTCAGTAAATACTACTCTTCCAATCAGTTAATACCTTGGATTTCGAAGCATATCTCCTGTATCTTATAAAGAAATCTTGCACTTGATTCTCAATGTCATTTTCTTGATTTCAACTTTAGATCCAAACTGTCCCAAACCAGTGAGCAATACTACTCTTCCCATCGCTTTATACCTTGGCTTTCAAAGCATATCTCATGTGTCTTATGAAGCAATCTTGCACTTGATTCTCAATGTCATTTTCTTGATTTCAACTTTAGATCCAAACTGTCCCAAACCAGTGAACAATACTACTCTTCCCATCGCTTTATACCTTGGCTTTCAAAGCATATCTAATGTGTCTTATGAAGCAATCTTGCACTTGATTCTCAATGTCATTTGCTTGATTTCAACTTTAGATCCAAACTGTCCCAAACCAGTGTCCTATCGCTTTATACCTTGGATTTCAAAGCATATCTCCTGTATCTTATAAAGAAATCTTGCACTTGATTCTCAATGGCATTTGCTTGATTTCAACTTTAGATCCCAACTGTTCCAAATCAGTGAGTAACCGTGAACCATAATACGAAAATTTCACGAAGACATTGTAACAAATTTCGCCAACATCTCGGATTACAGCAATAACAACATGTAGATATGAATATTCCCGAAGCATGGCAATAAGTTCTCGCTCCAAATGCACTACAAGAATGAGAGCCCATCAAAATGGTATTCCCGCAGTCTTATGGGCATTCGAAAGTGGCTCGGAGCTGAACATAACCTAGAAAAATAGCTCTCCTCGCCCGATTAGCATTTACACGAGCAAGAGAACGCTATTCCGACAATATCGTTTCTGATGTGCACGAGCTTTATGGGAAAAGTCATTAAATAAATACTGACCGAGTGTAGCGCTTAGGGCGACAACACTATTGTTCATGTATTTCTCTTTCACTGTTTTATTCCGGTCACAGAACAATAGATACCAGAAATGAATCTCTCGTCTGCATGTAAACAATGATCTGTGATGAAGGCACGAATCCCAAGGAATTCAAAATTGAACGTCAACTGGCATAAAAATAAAGCCAGTGTCATACATTCTGAGTTCAATTTCTTGTTCTGTACCCACGGCTGCAATTTCCCATTTTCCCATATCAGTGCGGCCGCGTTCTGCTGTAATTGTTATTGTTTGTGTTCTGGCAAACATGTAGTAGCTCCAGGCTATTCATTTTTCTGCGGAACGTACTATAACGAATCGGTTGCAGAATCGGTGCTGGAATATACCATATTGCAGGTGCTGGTCATTACATTTCACAGTATGTTCGTTGAATCTTTGTTCGGTCACGTATTTACAAAGACACAGACTAATTTTTTTTGTCTGCATTCGCCTTCTAACCACGTAGAAGAATCATAAACTGAGTAACATCACAAACGTGACGAAGGTGAAAACGAGGGTAAAAAGGATGAGATTCCGATTGAAAATATTAATTCCTGATTTTGGAATTGCAAATCTTGTTGTTTCAAGTACAGTTTCAACATGGAGGAACTAGCAAGCAAACATGAGACATCACCAATTTTCTAATCCAAAATCAACGTACATTCATGAAATAAACCTCGGGGTGCGTTCACTCTTCATTTGTTTCGTCAGAATGGTTCTTGATGTAAACAATTGAATTTCAGACGATGACGTGGGGTTGACATATTGAATGTTAGATGGCGTGATTCCTAGAACTTATGATCAACATCATTTCTACCAACCTGGTCACAATTCGGTCACAATTGTCACATTGATGCCTGTAATTTCGGTAAGGCACCAGACTAAACTTAGCGAGATTCACCCACGCCATGTTATGTTTATCGAGTAGGCGAAAATCAAGGGATTGTAAAACAGGAAAGGATTGAAGTGCGTACATCAGAGGTTTATTTCATCAATCATCGTACTATTGAGGCAACCATTCTAAATGGTTCCTTGCAGGACATGGTTTCATATAGGTCTCTGCATAACCTCGAACTTTGTGTGTGAATAAATCGAATAATTTCCACTGAGCCAACATTGAACAGTAACTGAAAGTATTGCTTCGCCAATATTGTGCCAACGATAGTCCACTGGGGTGACATAAATTGGATGCATGGAGTATTCAAAACAGAAACGAGATGAACAAGCAAAGTCAGTGTGACACGATGTTTTATGCATATGAACGTATATATGCCTGAAGGTGAAAATATAATAATGCACGTATTTCTAAAATAGGTTGTTTGGGTAAAAGTCAACGTTATCTCACGCTTATCTTCGGTGCTTATTATTTTGTCGAGGACAATGTGAAATAATCACGTTTCCACAATAATTTATCTTCTAGCTGCAATAATAATTCTGACCCAGATTTCCATACTCTCGCTGTTTCACAAATAAACCGATGGATGCTAGTAATATCAAACTTTTGTATAGCAAATATCAACCAAGCTAGAATCTTGAACTGTTCATGATAATTTCGTCACCCGATAGGCTATAAATAGTGATTACTCATTAGCATAGACTGGTTAATTCGCCATTTGAAATGTGAAAAACTTACCGTTTTGCTTGATGGTATCCTACACGTCGTACGAATCTGAAAAACGAAAGAAAAACACGTTAATGAATGCAATGTTGTGTCAGGTATGCGGTATATGCTCCAAGGTGTGCCTGTTTCATTTTTATTTCGCGTTCTACGCTGACTTAATGATTCATTTGTCGGCGTTTTAACTGATGAAAAGGGCACGGGAAGTTCTTATCACACGGTATATAACGAGTGTATTACGTGCTCGCGCAGTTTACCATGAAAGTTTAATATATTATATGAACGTTGAAAATCCGAGCTGAATCTCTTCGAAGGAATAAATTGGAATGAATTAGAGGAAAATTAATAGTTTCCTGCTTGTGAAGCCGTACTTTATTGTTGATGGTAACACGATATACAACACATAGTATACTGGTAGATTGTATGTATCTGCTCCAGACTCTGAATCATCAAGATTTTGACACGGATTGTTGGATATAAAGCGACGTTAAATTTATGCCCGATATCAACCGGATCAGGTCAGATAGCAATTCCGAAATGCCCATACGTTTGCAGAAAATCAAACATAAAATACTAGGATATTCCAATATTTTTTGGTAGGTTTGCGATATTTCTACTCGAATGACAAACTGGTTCACATCAGGCAAGGTACCAGGTCATAACTGGTATAACGTTGAACGATCGGGAAGTATATACAGTGTGTCCACCTCAAGGACTTACCACTTAGGTATTTGAAATGTCCATCCAACAAGGGAGTGATTTTATTATTGGACTGTTATCATGGAAAGCATTCTATTAGGAGATTTTTTCACAAAAAATATTGATGGATTCTGTAAAATGTGGATAAAAATCGGTACTGGTATGTTTCAAGTGATCCTGATTCATAATTATTTTTCGAGTGAAGAATCATCATGATACAAAATATAGTTTACATATCCTTTTTAATTCTTTCACTCAGACACATGGTATATTCGAATGATAACAATTGGTACTATGTCGTGAGTTCTTTCCAAAAGTACTACTTACTACATTTTCTGATCACGTTTTCAAAAAATATATAATAATTCGTATTTTTGGACACACCGTGTTTTATGATGATGAAAATTTGTACAAGTATGTTTCAAGTAATCCTGATTCAGAATTCAGCATTTTTTTTTTTCGTGAGAAAAAAATTGTACTTTCTGAAATTGGTCGTAGTTGGCCACGATAACAGTCCAAGAATAAAATCACTATCTTGTTGAATAGAAAAAATGTGTTTGTCTGACATTTCTTTTTATTTTTCTCTTACTTTAGTGCTCCTATGTAAGTAACTAAAAGCTGATGATGAAGCTTTGAAGCATGTCCAATCAAATGATTACAATAAAGTATAGTTTTGGTGGAGTAGACTGTAAGAATTACGTCCTGTCATTAGGATATCAGCAGCAATCTAAGGCCTAAAACTATTCCAGAGATATAAAAAAAAGTCACAAGGTGTTCTGTATACCCAAATGGGACGATGGGCATAGCTGGATAATAAATGGAACAATTTACTTAGATACGTACGATACCTATAATTTGAATAGTACCGCCAAGAAATAAGAATATAGTCGCAAAGTACCCATTGATAGATGAGAGCAGTGAAATTACCCAATTGGACTCCCAAATTTTTCGCACATCAAAGTTGCCGGATGGTTAAATTGATGCAACTTTCGACATCAATAGAATCATCGGTCCGTATACTAATCTATTTCCTTGTTGACCCCGAAATTCTTCGATGCACAGCTATTGTTGTCGTTTCCTGTCCATTAATCCCCCTTCTGATGGAACATCATTCATTGTATAAATACTGTCTAGAAGGTCTATAGTAGGCACTTTACTTAATAAGTTGAGATGAATGAGATTTCTACATGATATATATATTCCATGGTAAACGAACTTACTGCAAAACAACACCCTAAGTTGACCATGCAAAACAACATCAACTTGTAGATCATCTCTGGATGCCCATCAATAATTATTATTGTAGAAGAAACCAGTTCCTTCAATACTGAAGCACCGAGTACATATATCACACTATTTATTTATACTTCTCTGGAGGCTTCCAAGAGCCTTAAATTGTATACTTAAGAATGCCTTGTGAATATACTAAGAATACAGTAAAAGGTATCGATAACGATTGAAGAATTCCGTATGTAGGCGGCTGAACATACTGTCAATATTGAACTCGATATTCAACAAGTGTTTAGCAATACGTTGTTAAAGCTGGAGCTTAGAAAGTTGACCTTAGGATTACGAAAAAAATATTCGAACACGTTTCGACGATTGCAGACGAATGATTTATGCTGATGCAGATCCCCGTATCGATATCATCACACAACGAATTCGAAAAAAAATCGTAACTCACTTTGTATATATACATATATCGCTACATCGGTTCCTCATTGACCGCTGGTTTGACAACTGATGAGTAGTCTTCATAGATGTATCAATCAAATTTCAGAATGAACAGTTGAATAGCATGACAACTAATGAACAGGATACCAACACCAATCACTAAAAGCGAACAAGCTACTTTGATAGGAATTAGGAAGCCTTTTCGAAATTGAATTGAGATAAGAACAAGCAATCCGAGACCGGTGTTCCTATTCTGTCTTCCCGTTAATAGCTACTCGACTCATCTTTTCTCTGTTTCTATCACCAGCCCCTTTTCACTCAACTCAATATTCCTCGAAGTATTGAGTATGTTTAAACATAGTAAATCATATACCATAAAGTGGTCTCCAACACGACAATCACATTAACAGTTTACGTTAACTCAAAATAGTGCAAATAGCAAGAGATACAGTTTCTTTCCATGCAATACTGATAATTTGATTCTAACGGTGCCGACATAAATATAACTAGATATTGATCATTTTGCAACGAACTCATTCATATACTGATAATTGGATGATGAACGATCAAAACCAAACTGTTCGCTTGAACCCCCTCAGTAATCTGCATCAGCCTGCACGATCCCAAAACTGTTAATTAAACCTAGAATTTAACCCTCACCCCCAACCCCAATCAAGCTTATTGCGATACAGCGGCAGAAACAAAGACAGCATTGACTGATTCCTCCTCTCACCTCCCTGCAACTATATAATCGGCAATTACCTAGTCAAAACGGCTATTGATCCGCAACGGTTAGATACAAACGTATATTATTTGTAAATATTGCGGCCTGTGGGCTAGGTTTCCCGATAAAATCTGCTCGGAAAAACGGGGGTAGGGACGGGTATTAATCATCTTTCAGTGGAGCGGGATTAGGGTAGAAGCCGTGATAAGATACGGCCTTTCGGCTTGTACGACAGGGGTCCGACACCAAGGCATTCTCGAAGGGGAGAACAACACTCGAATGGATGGATATCCAACAACTAACTATGGAGCAGGCAATGTGAGAAGTATTGGTTACGGCAAATAACGGCTTCGGGGATTCTGAATGAACGCTATGTCTAAATATTTATGTCTAATTCTAGGTTTGCTTGTTCTCTCATATCAGTTGTTCACTGTTAAAATTTCATTGATTAGTGTTTGACATCAGTGAAGTAAGCGGATGAACCATTATTTCCAGACATTTTCGACTACGAATCCATTATTTGATGAGCTCTAATGTCTTTACTTGTTGGTCGACTAACCTGAAAACATTTCAATCCAATCTATGCCAGGAGTTAGGAATGTTTTTTCCGTAGTTTTTAATGTCATCGCAAAGTCATCTAATGATATTGTTCATGCTGACGCATACATGTTGAATGGAAACAGAATACATAACAAAAAATCCAATGTTCATGCAATGATGAAATAGCTATAGCTCGATTTACTGATGCTATTTGAATTTGAGTAGGAACTAGAAATTCTTCAGTCGAGTCATCAGTGTGATGAAACAATACTGTTTGCACTTTTCTGAAGTGATCACATCCAAGCTAAAAATAGAAAGGTAGGAGCTGCTATATTACCTTTATATTGTTAATATCTTTGGCTTCGCCATTTTCCCGAAAATCACACCTACATAGATAGTTTGTTGAGGGAGAAACAAAAAACCATAAGTGATGAGTATAGAAACAAAATCGATTTTTCACACATAAGTGTTCCAGTGGATGGAACCATAATAGGAACATTTTATATAAATGTAACATCGAAGGAAAATGTGACAGAAGGATGATTGGAACTATTAGAACAACATGGGATATTCTGCTTCAGTTAGAAGTTCAAACATTATCTTCCTCATCACTTCCATCCAGTTTCAGTTGAGTATGAAAGAATAGAAGAAGGGAACTTCGATCCAAAATTATCGATATTGGAAAAATATTCAATTAAAACGAATCAGCTATTGACATTTTCCAGTAAACCAGCATCATCGATAGACATGGAGATAGAAATACATACGTCTCGCTTGCTAGATTTTTTTCGTAGGTATCGGGTGTCCCGGAGCCTTTATTTCAGCAGATATCTGAGCTAACATAGAAAAATTGGAATTCATGAGAACCAAAAGCTCTCCAAAATGGTGAGATAAAATCATCCTTGTTTCAAACTTGTCAAACAATCTACTGGACACCACCCCTTACTTTAGTTTTTCAAATTGTACCCCCATGTTTTTACCGGTTCTTATAGAACTTCAGAATATCACGATCGATATAGCGTTAGTAAAAAATTACATTACATCCAGTTATTCCTTGAAAAATCAGAGCTACACACGAAGTCTGAATAGGCAATATAAGGTAAGTGTTGCAAGTGATAACAGTCATTTCAATCATGCAAGAAAATATCCATATTCATTCATAAATAAAAAACTATGAAAATCATTCGAAATTTCCGAGGATGAACTTCTTGCTAAATATCCAAAGCTGACATCATATGGGTCCCCTGACTCCAGGGTATATATTTATACTTACTTACCACTTATTGTATTTACCTATATACCGTTATCAATTTCACCATATACGACTGATTGTTCTTATTCAGGGTCACTTCTATATGTAAAACTCTTTTCGTTAAGGTTCCTGAAGATTACTCTTCCGATCCCTGTTCTCGTC